CAAACACAACCACACACACAACCACAAACAAAACAACAAACACACAACCACAAAGACACAACAATAAACACACAACCACAAACACAACCACAAACACACAACTACAAACACAACCACAAACACATCCACAAACACACAACCACAAACACACAACCACAAACACAACCACAAACACACAACCACAAACACACAACCACAACAACACGACCACAAAGACACGACCACAAACGTACAGCCACAAGCACAACCGCAAACACATTCACAAACACACAATCACAAACACACAGCCACAAACACACAATCACAAACACACAGCCACAAACACATAATCACAAACACAACCACAACCACAACACAGCACACAACCACAACCACAACACACAACCGCACCACACAACCCGAGGACCACAAACAAAATCGAGAACTACAATACTCACGACCATGGCAACATGCTCCTCACTATGGCATCAAGTCAAATGATTGAAATGTCATGGTGGGGATCACTCGAAGTCAAGTATTTTTTTCTGGGGCGGGGGCACACCTTCTATGTCTCATCGGTCGTGTTTGAGTTTCAGTCTGGAGCTGCAGATGGAGTGAGTTTTTGCCTCCAAGGCTTGCATGATCGAAGGGAAGGCCTTGGTGCTGTATGCTCTCTTGCCCTCGGGTTCCGTGGAGAAAGAGAATGGGAAGGCCTGCCTTGTCACTGAACATCATTGCACCAAGCCCAACCTGCTGATCAGATGATGTTCATCATCTCCGGGTAAGGCTATGATGGAATATGTGTGTGTTGCCTTCTCTAGATACCACAAGCGACTCCATGCAGGCCAGTGTGGAAGAGATGATGGCTCTGGAGAAAGTATAGGACTACCTCACTAACACGGAAGTGGAAAATGGTCGCACTGTTTTCTTTTACGAACAGGGGTTTCCACTTCCTGTTAGTGAGTTGGAGTTTACCTGAGCTTGAGATATATTCTGATGTTAAATGCATGTGTGCATATCTGTGCACGTTATTCATTGCCGGGTCTAAGCACCATCCTGTTTATGGTTTGGACTTCTGGCCCAGCCTTCGTGGCAACTCTACTTTCAGCATCATGTTGTGAAACATGAACTCTATTGGTTTTACTTAGCTCTAGTCTACTTGGACGGTGTCTCATGTGTTTGCTTTCTCCCACCCAATCTTGAGAGAAGCGAATCACTGGTGAGCGCATGGTCTGGCGTGGGTCCGGCAGACCAGCGCTCACCAGGGGCTCACCGTGGGCCCGGCCGAGGTTTGGGGTCTTTGATCTCCTACACGCCAGTGGTGGAAGACGTGTGAGATCTGCGGGAAAAAAAACGTGGTGAGAGGCAGCATGGGGAGGTTCTGGGCACGCGCACCAGGCTGTGGAATCGGGCGAGCATACAAGAGGTTTCAGCTAGACTGGAAGGTGGTTTCTTGGTGTTTTGTGGTGTTTTTGGTGCTGAGTGTTCTTGTCTTTTCGCGGATTGCACACATCAGCTATTTGTGGGTAAACTTGGTTAATGGTCAACCCTGACAAATGATGATGTGAGCATATACTGTAGAGGAAACGAGAGGATGTTCAGCCTGCGACTGGTGGAAGCAGGAGTTGAGTTTGGGCTTGACCCACTTCCTTGTCCATGTATGGTCCCACTTGATCCATTCACTTCATTCAAAGGCCATGAATCTCTGAAGAGAACACTATTTCAAGGCACAATCATAGACAGGGATCCTTGTGTTGCTGTTCTTGCCAAGAGAAGCAGAACCCCAAAAAGGTCCTACGATGTCCTACGCCCGCCGCACTGCCACCGCCACTGCCGAGGTTTGGCCACGGCCGACCACGTCCTGAGGCGACCCAGAAGCGACCCGCGGAGACGACCCGCGAAGACGGATGGTCTTTCACGGATGGTCTTTCCGCGAACAGCTTTACACCCCCAAGGACGGACATACTGTAACTCGTCCCTTGCGGAACTTGGCCAAACATGAAAACGATGGTGGGATTTCCAGTGGGTTTGGGGAGAGTTCATTTGATCTTTTTCTGATTGGTTTTGGTACAGGATTTGTTTGCTTCGAGAATAGAGAGCCTCAGCCCTCAGCCCTCAGCCTCAGCTGCCTCTGGAACCATTCTGCCTTGTGGAAGGGTTTCTCTCGGGCTTGAGTTGCTCAAGTTCGATTGCCGTCGACTGAGTCAGCATTGGTCGCAATTTCTTTGTGGACTAAGTGTACGTGAAAGGGTACAAGACCGAAATCACCGTTGGGCATCATTGGACATCAACTCTCCTCGATTATGTTTGCATATGTTTGCAGGTTCTTCTTTGATTCTTTGGTTTGTCATGTTTTACAAACACTTCTGCGTAGCTTTGATTTGGTGCCCAAACCAAATTTTATATTTTATACACAATTCATATCAATTCATTGTATATAATATATATACAATATATGCTATAATAATATACAATTAGAGAACCTGGTTTTTGTCCGATTCACTCCTGAAAGATGGGTGGGGATCATCACTGCGTCGCTGACGGGGGCTCGCAGTCCACGTGCCACGTCAGGGTCTATGAGAAGGTGGCGTCCAAGCAGGTTGAGATCATCAACCGGCTGCAGGTGTGAGCCGTGTGAGTATCAGACCCATTTTTTCGCGAACTTGGGTGGAGCATCATCCATTTCAAAGTCTAGGAATTTGTTGACAGATGTTGACAGAACCTTTAGAACAGAACAGCGTCCTAAAAGTTGCTCAAAGATGCTTGGTGTAGCATGGTGTAGCTTCAGGATTCGATATGTTTTGTTTGATCATGATCATACATGTTACAGGAAACGAGTGGCAGATTGATAGGCTGCCATTATAGTTGAGTCGGCACATGATATCTTCAAATAACATCATAGTAAAACATGTAAAACACATGTTGTTATATTATAATATCTTATGTCATGTTTTCTGTTTGACCCTTGCATTTCTTTGAGCTGTTTTAAAGCTGTTCATCATCCGGACATCTCGGTGGCTACCGAACTCACCAGGCCACCTGCGTGGAGCAAGGCATCTGTGCTGCAGATGGAAGACCCGAAGATAAAAAGGACGGTCAGAGATAGCCGGTGGGACTGGCATGTATAGACCCTAGGGCTCCACCTCCTCAGAAGGTACTTAGACCCCCAAACACCTACCCCAAGCACCTTCTCGGGAGGTGGTCGGAGCCCTAGGAATATGCCGCGCCAGAAAGACCCCTCAAAAGAATCACCCCTGGCCTGATCGGAGGATATGCCCAGTTCAATGGAGTTGGGACTAGGAATGGACGCGTTGGCGCCCGGATGAAATGTCGTTGGTTTTTCAGTGTGACACCGAACCAAAAGAACAGATCTCCAACTCAGACCACTTCTTCTTGAAAAGTCCATTTGTTCAAGTGGAGCTTGTCGGGAATTCAGATTGAATGAACAGATTATGTTGCACTTGCAGGGATTGCCAGTTTCTTGGTGGATGCAGCCCTATGGTGCCTGCATCAGTTGATATAGTTTCTTTGATTTTTGTAGTTGCCTGTTGGCTTGCATTGGTTCGATGTTTGTCATCTTGAAGAAGTTGTCATTAACTTGTTTGACATCGAGATCCTGGTTATAGACATGGTGTAGACAGGGGGTACATGTTGCGCACTTTTTGGTTTCCAGGGTTTGCACGCAAGCACGGGTTTGGTTGGGCTGATGTGAGACACTGAGGTAAAGCTTGTGGAGAGGGAGGCCTCTTCAACAACATTAAGGCTGGTTTCAGAGTCAAGTCATATTCACACTGTTGAAGGACTGAGATTCTGCACTGAGTCGAGCCAATACTTCAATAGACATACCATGACATACCATTTATTTGAGGTGGTGACGGTGGTGACAGTTCCTTGAGCAGGTACTCATTAGGAACCACATACTCGTAAGTCCCGGAGTTGACATGTTGATCTTACAAAGCTTGGGCCCTGAGAACAGGCCCAAGCTCTACCGAACATGATTTTCTGTGTAAACCAGAGTCTGAGAGGAGGTTCATGATTTACAGCCCAGACGCTCCATGTATGGTATATGTGCCATTTCACCCCTGATAAAGCCCATGCAGGCAGTCCTTTTTGCCAGGAAGTGGTGGGAGCTGCCATTGAGACTGAAACCACCCCCCAACTGATGGGCTACTATGGCAGTCCCATGGAGTGTTTGGGGAGGAGAAACCCTTGGCCATTCCAGCGTTTCGGGAACCAACGGTGAAGCTTGCTCTCCCTACACAGGCCTACGGTGAAGCGTGTTCTCCCAACGTCACAAAACCAACTTGGTCTCCCTTCTGGTGAGAAAGAAAGCGTTCAATTCGCTATTTGTGTTTCGTCTCATCTCCCGGAGCACGAGATATGCGTCACGAGATTCCATGTGGCTGCCTTGGTGGCTATGCGTCACTGTTCCCAGGGGTCAACTATCTCATCTCATTAAAACGGGATAAAACGGGACATGAACAACACCATTGCTTCATGCAAAGTACTCCCTTTCATGAAGCACGTGCATATGAGCTTATGAGCCACGCTCAAAACTAGGGAAGCGAAGACCACATTTAGTAGAGAAAGTGTTGGTTTGTGCAAGGAGGCTTTGACCATGTTTGACTCCTCAAAAGAAACCCTGGCCTTTTCGACTCCGAAATCGCCCAGAACTTCTTCAAGCGCCTTTTCCATCGCTGAGATCGCCGTTTCGTCACGGCGGCGACGGCGGTGACGACCGGTGGAGCACAAAGAAGCGCGAGGGACGAGGATGCGGAACGGTGGACATGCGAGGGACGACGAAGGGTCTTCCTGGAAGTGGTGCTGAGGTTTCAGGTGTTTCTTGAAGTGGAAAGACACACTTGTTTTGATGGAGCTTTCGCCCACCCAAACCTGGGATTTCACCCAACTGTTTTTCACCGGTTTCATCAAACATGTCCAACGAAACTCAGATTCATCCAAATGCCCCATGTGCTTTCTCCGACGTGTTTCCTTGTTTTGTTTCGCTTGTTTGGTGCCAGGACTCCACCCCCTCGTCACCCTCCAAGCTCAAAGTGATGCGTGAGGAGGCAGGTGCCTCTTTGGTTTGCGCGAGGGATCGATCAAACCGTGTGTCCATCCCAGACCAGACCAGCCATCCCATTTTTTAGAGTTGCATACATTGACCCCCGAAAAAGATATGATCCCCAAGGTATAGATAACTGTTCGCTCGTCCCACGGATGGTTTGGGAATGAATGTTTCATAAGACCTCCCTCCGTTTGGATTGCGCCCTCTAGACGAGGCCTGGGGGGTTGAAATGATCATTCTTTCACCTTGCGCAGCGAACGAACGCGCAATCATGATCGGTGCCTGTGCACCGGCAACAAACACTGTAACAGCGGTCCAAGTGAAGCCAAACACCGATGCACATGCCAACACATTCGCCCGCCAACGGCCAATGGGGCGGCTTCAATACACATGGAGCGGTCCGATCTGACTGGTGTCCCACCGGTGACCCCAAACGAAACCCATCGGGGTTTTCGTCGAGTTCCGGTTCCGGGAGCTTGGTGGGTCCGGAATTCGGCTGCCTGAGATGATCGGACGGGGGGAAGGGAAAGCAAAGAGACCAAGCTGTTGCAGGCCTCTGTCATCAAAAGAGGAAAAGACCACTCCCATGTGTTTTTGTGTGCCCATGAAATGTGTGCTTTACCATGTGTTCCCAATGTGTTTTCTCACCAAAGTAAGATCGAAAAGGATGAGCCGAAAGAATCTCTCCCCATTTGCTAGGTGTGGTCCATGTAAGATGACCTTGTGCCCAACACATACGACAGCTTTCTGGAAGGCCGCCCAACACAATGCACCCCATGACTCCTGTTCATCTGACGTCTTCTGTGGAACTTACAGGCGGTCACCCAGATCGATAATGTCACTCGGTGTACATCGGCGGCCGGGTGTCTCCCGTGCCGAAGCACTCTTTCCCTCGATTTGGTGACAGCCTGTGGTTCGATTTCGGTTCAACTGACAGCCGGTGGCTGGCCCCCGCTGATCCCTTCCCAGCCTGGCGCGTGTGTGCGTTTTCAGCCTGCAGGTGGCTGCGAGGACATGGCCGAATGAGGCCTTTTTCACCAGTGCGGCCGGGGGGCCAGCTGCACAGCACCTCGCAGGAGGGGTGAGCATTAGGCACCTGAAACGACTAGCTGCGATCGCGAGCAGTTGAAGCATCAGGTTCATGATGGTTCATGGTAGGACGTGGTTTTCAAAGTTTATGACTAAAAGAACACAGCTGTCGCAAAAGACATCTACACATCGATCAACACAATCTGCTGTCCAAAAGCATGGTATCCGTGTTTGATGGGCTCACCATGGTTCACCATGCTTGTACGCTCCTGTCCCAAACGCTGTTGGGGTGGGATACATGGTTTGTGCCTATCGGTACATGGTCGAGTCAGTATGTGCTTGGAGCCGAATCCGAATCAAACCGAAATCAATCCGAATCTCTTCCCATCAAGACTCATAGTATAGACTGGTGAACGCCCCTTACTTTCATGTTTGGTTGAGCCTAAGTATCATGAGATTGGGAGACATGAGTCAGGGTAGAAATCCATGCTGAGATCCAAAGGCAACTGTCTATTTTTTGTTGCTTTGTGTTCTAAAGGTTTGGGGCAGGATCCAATTTATGCAGGGGAATGAGTGGTTCTTATAATTAGGGGGTTCGCGCCTTGTGAACTTACCCTTTGTGAGCTTGTCAAATGAAGAAGAATTGCATAAGTGCATAAGACATCCATGACTCCTGACCTGTAAATGCACGGCTTCATTTGCTTCTTCCAAAAAATAACATACAATAACATTCCGAGAACAGAACATACAAACAAAAGATCATCTCTACTTAGTGAAGTAGAAACTTGGCGGTTGTTTGTGGGGTCGGGTAAATTGGGTTGGTTTGGATGCCTTTTTCAAGGGTGAACATCACAATGTTCAGTTTTCAAGTAAGATGGTATCTTTTCCTCTTTGAGGCGCGGCAGCTGATTTGTCTTTCTTGAGATTCTGCACGTCAAGCACCCACGCGGAGGGTCACCGGCTGGTCTCTGTCCAAGGCCACAGAAGCCGTCACGAACGCAGGGCTGGCCGTGTTATGGCAAGGGGCGGTTCGTGAAGAAATTGAGGATTGGTCACATGTGTGGTCATTTTGTTGTAGCTGTGTGGTCACGGTCATGCGTTGTACGGCTGGCAAAAGATTTAAAGGACAAAACATCTCACTGAACGCATTTCAACAGTTTTTGTTAAAGGTCAGGTTTGCATTCTTATGTGTTCAAGGTTTTCTTCAGGTGGGCTATGGTGCGCTCAATGGACAGTACATACTCAGCCGGCCGTTTTCCACCACGTCCCCATAATTATGGTATTTCATTCATCAGGTATATCAATATATCCGTGTACAAACTGGAATTCATATATAACTATAATTAGGTATTGGGGGTGTTTGGACCAATCCGGCCAATTCCAGTAACACACCTGTTGACAAATCCATGGTATATAGTTACTTTGTCAAGTAAACAATCATGGAACTTGGAACAGTTTTTGTGATCTGGCCAGGTGGTGATGACTCATGCATGGCGCGGGTGCAGGCTCTGGGACTGGGGGTCACCCTGTCATCCCGGGCCGACATGTGCATAACACCAGGAACTTTGCACCTCGACATGGAGAAGAAAGACGCAGTGTACGGAAGAAACACTCCAAGAACTGAAGGCGTTTGAAGGTATATTGATATAGTCCTGCCCGATGGACTGTTTGGAAGGAAAAACGCATGGAATGTGTCCAGTAGACAGACCGCCTTGATATGCCCTGATTCCTGATGTTTGAGACCGACAATTGTTTATCTTAGAGAGGGTGTCCCGTGCCAATAGTTCCGAACAAAAATGTGGGACGAAATGGAGCAATACTACCTTCAGTATCCATGCCCCCTTAAAAGGAATATGTTATATATATATATATATTCATTGTTATTCTATTGAGACCGCATCAGCATCCAGTGAACATACAATCTCCCAAGACAGGGTGCACATAGCTAATGTACTAGCTAAACCATGAATCAACCACAAACTCCCGGACCACCATAGACGTCGATCGTTTGGGTCTTGTTTCCTATGTCTCTACCCCAAAACCCACGGAGCGCACGCCCTCGAGGTCCGTGAGCGGCTTGGCGGACTTGGCGGCCGTGCGGCTGGGCGAAGAGAAGTGCGTCGAGCAGCGAGCGGCTTTCTTTTTTTGGCAGAGAAAAAAACGAACACTGAAGTCACTTCCTAAACCCTTTGATCTAAGGGAAGGGCTGCCGGTTCGGGCGCCCGGGGGAAGTGGGGTCCTTCAATTTCCGAGTTTGGGGGGTCCTTCAAATACCCAGCCATATCACTTGTTCGTGTTGAACTGGTCTCCGGGCGATCGTCGGTCCTCGCCAAGATCCCAAGAGCAAGTTGAAGATGGTTGACTTGGGGTCGCCCTCGACTTTTCAGTTGCTGGTCCCCCTCTGAAATGGTGTCTCTTTCAGGGAGCTCCCTGAACACCGAGACACCCAAGAGAGCAACATCATCTGCAGTTTTCAAACACATTTGCTTTCTACTACCGCTATGGCCTGCCGGTGCTCCGATGTCAAACGCACGGTGGCCATGCGATTCACCCACTTCAAGTGGCGGAGGTCCCGTGTTCTCCACTGTCTTTTCGCCTCTCGGGGATCACATACGTCGCTGCCCAAAGGGGACGGTCTGTGACCTCTCGTTGGCGGCGTTGCGGCCAAAACACGTCTCAACCCCTTGCGTCATTGCGGCTTGCCTTCACCACACAGCCATGCATGCATTGGTCCATGAAAACCCTGCTGGGCAAGCCATTGCCCATCGTTTTAGGTCACTTTGGAAACTGTCCGCCTAACACTGAACTCTGCGCGCCTTTTCTTCGCGAAGCGACGACGACGCGTCGCTCTTCGGCGTTGGCTCCGACGTCCGAGGTTGCTTTATGGCCTTTCAAGCACCGGGCTCATGAAGGATGCTGAGGCGTTCTGGTTCACTGCCGAGGGGATCTGGGGACGCTATGCGGCATGTGGGGACTACTTTGTGAAGGAGTTCCATGTTTGGTGTCCGGTGTCAGGTATAGGTAGGAACCGGTACTGTAGGGACCTAGGTGTAGCTGTGTAGCCGATACGAGATTGTTGACGAAGCAAATCCTGTAGCAAATCCTGGAATACTGCCGTTGATTGGCAGCAAATACCCGTGGAGTAGCTTGTATAGCTTGTATATAATATAATGTGGTCCAAGTTTGGTCCATCCAACGTACCAAGTCATTGGCTGTGGCTCAAGAGTCAGCCGTGTCCGGTGTCATGACAGTGTGACAGGGGATGGGTGTTCCACCATGTGTCAATTCAATTGTCACTATAAGGAATGTTGGGGAGAAGAACATGTTGAATATCACGATATCGCACAATATTCATTGCGATAGTGTATCTTTCGGTGGTATATATATAGATATTGTGATAGGCCCATAGGTTAAAACACAGAATAGTGGGAACAGCTCTGGATGAATATATATATATGAATGATGGCCATGGATAGTGGCAGCACAGACGGCAATGAAAGTGGTGGATTGCCACGCTGATTGCCATGCCAAACATAAGACATAAGCCTTACTAAAGGAATGGGCGATTGAACGTTTGCTATTCAAAAACCGAAGGCATTCTCAAACCAACTGTAATCTGTCAACTTGATCGACATCTCCGTCCGTCGCCACTGGCACAATGTTTAGAAAACATGCAGTGATTTGAGTAGAATATGCTCCCGGCTTGAGATGGATGCCCGCACCATTGATGTTCTTTTTGGTGAGGTGGCCAAGGGGATACAGGATGCAAGTCGCAAAGTAATTAGACTATATAAATGGATTGAATATAGAATGAAGGGTTTAGGAGTAACCTGCAGAATCTGCATGTACCAACATTTAGAAACACTGTCACCAGATGTCACCAGTATGGTCGAAAATTCACTTCTCATACTGGGTCACAGCCGACAAGCTCAACGGCTCAACCCAAGAACTGCACTGCACGATGTGTGAGGCCGATACCTTCTGGTCCTTGTCCGAGCTCTTGGCTGAGGACGCCATTCTTCCCTCCGGTGTTTTCTGGATCCCATTGGAAGAGCCCACTGTCAAGCGGTAGCTCTGTATCTCTCCGCTTGGCTGAGTTGGCGCCTGGGGCGACCCCGTGTGGATGATGCGTATATGACTTGTGATCCCAATAGTTGCCAGTAATTAGTAAGGCAAATATTCTAATACAATTTGATCGCGGTGTATTTATTTGCAGGATATTCATGGTAGGGTTAAGGGTCAACCATGCATTTTTCATACAGCATCATATAACGTTTGCTCCCGGGTCCCGCCACCAGTAACGTCCTTTCCAAGGAAAACATATGAAAAAATGACACCATCCTGGCTGTAATCCCTTGGCTCAAATGGTAAGAGCCAGAACCAATAGGCTTGAGTCATGCGTTCCATTTTATCAGCGAGGTAGGTTGGATATGGTGTGTCACTTCGACTCTAGCCTTAATGCCGAAGAAAGGGAGGTTGGATGGTACTCGATGTTTGAGCTACAGCTCTTTGATTGATCACTTTTGATCCCTGAAACCTTGCATTACTGCCCTGGACATGTCACAACGTATTGTGGCCAGGCGAGTCCGCACAGAGGACGCCGACGAAGCAGCTGTTTGACCACGGAAATCAATGTGCTGTCTTTCTCGTTTCAAAACACCAGAGGGTGATGTGAGATAAGGAGTTGGTCATCCACCTTGTGATGATTTGATTCCCAAATCCAACGTGTGCAAATTTGCTCCCCATCCAGCTTGCGTAAATTTGGGTACTGTAATCCTTCATGGCCCTTGCCATGTGCCCCTTCTGAACACTTTAAAGCTCCGTTTGCCCAGCTGGGCCCAGCCGCCCGCGCCGTTCGCGCTCGCCGAATGCTTCCAGGAGTCGATCCTGGGAGATGAAGCCTTGGCCTGGCAGGCGGCACTTCGGTTTATCGCGTCGGCGTCGGCCGTGATGCGCCACGCGCCGAAGTGGCCAGTGTGCTGTCGGCGGTCGCCCCGGAAAGTTAAGAGATGGTAGGAGCGTTCCAGAAACGTTTATGGCAAACGTGCAGCCGAGGCTTGGCAGGCATGGCTTGGTATAGGCATGACTCGCCCCCTGTTTTCGGAAATGGCCATGTTGCAAAGTCAGAGAGCAAAAGCGGATTCAAGTATACAACTAGGAATTAACATCTATAAAGAGACCAGGTCCATACCCCCTTTGAACAGTATATGGTTGAGGTGTCTCTATCTATTCAACCTCTACAAACAGATGGACAAGTCCGGGGTTTTCCCACCCTTCGCTCACCCTTCGACCCCGTCCAGTTGCCTCCTTCAGAGGCCAAGCGCCTGCACCGGCTGCATCTCAGTTTCGACCCTCCGGCATGGAACGCCCAGGTCTGTGCGAGAGGTCTTTGGGAGGTCAGATGGGATGGGTGAGAAAAAGACCAACACTGATCAGTGGCTTTTTGAGGATGGGAAGCTGCAAAAGTCAATGGACTTGTCATGACAGAACTATACTGCACAACATATAATATGTAGGATTATTAGGTATTGGTCGTTTTTGGGAGGGAATTGCTGGGTAAGCTGCTTTCCCTCTTTTTGCGGGGAATTGTCACGAATCTCCTCAGCGGGTCTTTGTGGCTTCATGTTCATCACGTCCACGAACGCCAACACTTGGTAACACGAACGGTGACGAGTTTTGTGGATTCCATGCCCCGAGGTCGCCGAGCTCTTGCAGGAACATGGGCTAGAGGCAATGCCCGCCTTAAGGCGTGCACCATGGGCGAAGGATAGAATTGAGATAATTGTGTTGTTTGCTTGGTGTCAATGTGGGATGCCCAGTCAGTGGTCAGTGGATAACCTTTATAACCATTCTTCTTGGTGGAGAGAGGTGTTCTGTGTTCGTGAGTGCAGAGGTGCGGATTGAGATGAGGTTGGAGTTGAACAGATTACGTGAAAGGAGGGCGTTGGCGGTCATTTTGGACGGTCATAGCCCTAGAGAGATGTGTGACAGTAAGATCCTTTCAGTGGTGTCATACGGAGCAAGGAGTTGCAGGGATGAATCAGAGGACTGCAAAGGTTCGTTGATCACAGAGGCTGACATCCCGTGGCCAACCTTCTATGGTGCAATGGTGTTTCCATGGTGTAGTTTCCGAGCCCCTCCTTCAGTGCATGCGTAAGAGTTGGGACACATTGGACAATTTCTGAGAAAGGTCCTCAATCGCTGCCAGTTCTTCCTCGTGGTTAATGTGGAAAAGTGACTGTGATGACTATTGCATGTTCATTTGACGAACACGAACAGGACGATGATTTCTGGCTACACTTCGGTGTGTGCGTGTGTGGGTGTGCGTGTTTGTGTCAGTGGTGTTTTCCTTTGAGAGGGTCACAAGGTATCACAAGGTGAAACATGCAACTTCCGCCTAGTAGAACCCCTCAAAGGAAATCCAGCAGACCTCCTTACCCGTGGCTCCACACCAGCAATTGCGAGGCTGGGAGCGTTGCTGCTTAGCCGCGCGGGCTTTCCTTTGGTTCAGCTGGTGTCTTGCATGAGCAATGTTCGACCCTGACACCCCGCGAAGGTCTTTTTCATTCTTGTTCGATCATGTTTCACAAGGGGCTGACTGGATGGGATGATATATTATAATTACAACCTAGCGCTTCGAAAGTACCACCAAAAAAAGGAACAAAGGGAATAACCAGGTTTTTCCCTCTTGTTACCTTTTTTGGGTAAAGGTATATAAAGGTTACTTTTTTTGGAATTTGGAGTGTTTGGGGTGACTCTCCATATTTCCGAAGCGTTTCATAGCCGCTCGGGGCTCATAAGCGGCTGGGACGTGGCTGTGCTGGGACCTGGTGCCACCCGCCCTGTGCATGTATGCATGTGTGATTTCTGTGGAGATAGACTGGTCAAGCTGGCAAAGAAGTATTTGGCATGCTCTTGCTGTGCATTATCTTGTTATCTTCTTGGATTGGGCAAAATTTGAAGCCATATCGATCCATCAAATCTCACTGTGCGGCGCGGTGGATGGCGTCTTTTCTTGATTCCTGTTCTGCCGCATCGAAGCAAGTGATTGAGAAGGAAGGCTGGAAACTGAAGATGAGAGATGCTTCCAACAAGGTTTGTTCAATTGACATCCTCTTTTCATATGAAAATTTTGCCTCCTTATTCTTCAAGAACCTTGGGGAGGCTTGCAGAACTTCCCGGTGCAGTTTTGGAAGGACTGTCGTGAAGCTCTCTTCCATGACTGTGCCTCTAGGCAGCATCTCATTCAGCAGTGCCTAACTTCAGTTTCAAATTGGGCGTTCAGTCTAGTGAGGAACCCCCATCAGTGGATGATTTGGTGGACATGATCATCTCCAATACGAAAGCTGGTGGTATCTGCAAGGGTCTCAAGGACGAGAACAGGGTATGGGGCAAGAGTTCCTGCAAGTTTTGATGCATCATGATGCTTCACAGGGTACGGCGCCCAGCTCGCCCGTTCAGGAGAAGCATGCGACAGTACCAGTCCCACCACCTGCAGCTGCAGGAGCAGACGGGACACAGGAGAGCTTTGGTCAAAACTGGTATAGTCCTACATTCAATCATGTCCACAGGAGGGTTTGATGATGGTCAAAATACTTTAAACCATTTCCTGTCCTGGAAGATCTCCCAGGAAGACCAATGCAGCTGATGTCTACATGAGTGCTGAGTGCTTGCCAGGAAACCTGGCCTTAGATGACATTTTGGGGGTGGGAGAGAAGCTTGCAACGACTCCACTCATGTCTTTCCTTGCCCAAAAGGAAATAAAAAGCATTTGATGCCACCTGCTTCTCAGTCTCCCAATGGGCTGAAATCTACTTTTCTGAGAATCTCCGGCTCCCGCTGGTGGAGTCTGATCCCGAACAATCGGCGTGGTTTCGTTTGTGGGGACCATATCATAGTTGATGTACTGCATCTGGTATAGGTGGAATCAAAACAATTTTGCGATGTGTCAGTCAGGCCAGGTACAACATGCCCATGTCCAAAGGATTCCCCAATCAGCATGCATGCACAAACATGTCATTAATGTATCTCGATCGGGATTTGTGGTGGTGCTGCCTGTGCCGATACCCCACGCAGGTCATGCCCATTGCTCGCCTTAACCTTTCCTTGCTGAACAGGCCGGCATCGCATGCCTGCACTCAAGCTGTGCAGATATGGTCATGCTGGTTTTGGGCATGCGCTGCAAGTGGGAAGTTCTTTCGACCAGAACACGGGGGTTCAAGCTTTATAGCTACCAGGTATAGCATATAGCGTGGATTTGTGCCATGTCTTGCGAAGACATCGTTGAATTTGACGAGGAGGAGGAGGTGTCTGCAGGGTCATGGCCACCCCTTCATGAGCTAGCTAGCATTTGGGAGGAAAATTCAGCAGTCCGTGGCTCACTCCGCCAAAACAAACGTCTTCTCATTTGGCCGAAGAAGGAACTGACAGGGGTTGCCACCATCGATGGGCTTGCCGCAAATTTGCTTGCGGTCCAAGATGCGCTGAAAGTCTGGGCCAGTCATGCCCCATCGCCGCGAGCGCCTCCCATTGATTGGCTGAGAGAGGAGGCCCGTCATTTTTTTACATGAGATTTCTGCGAACCCTTTTGTAAATCCTTTGTTCAAAATTGTCATCTTTCACCCATGACGGCCTACATGTCCTACCTGCGGCTGGTGTCAGGTCAAGCAAATTTACCTTCTGATGAACATCGAGTGCAACGATGTGAGCCTTCATTTGGATTCATGGGGCGTCAGGAGATTTGTTTCTTTGTGCCTCCGACGATGGAGGAGGGATCAGGTGACTTTCCGCGACCCTCAGCTCTGAAACATTTCGAATATGAAATGAAAGAAGCTAACTTTCGAGTGATTCACTTTGTCTTTGTGATTTGGACATAGTTGGATTCACCTCCAGCCACCACGGACTAAGGATCCACGCTTGCGGGTTCTCATGAACACAATGGCTGAGCATTGGCCCAGTGATGAGTCTGATCTTCTGACCAACGATCTGTATATGGAGATTGGAGGTGGTGGGGCTGAGCCAGCCCCTGCCAGGACTGAAGCAGCCCCTGCTCATGTGGGTGAACCGGCCAGGGCTGACCCAACCCCA